GGTTTAAGATTTAGGGTTTAGGATTCGGGTGGGTGGGGTTTTGGGGTTTAGGGTGGGGGTTTGGGTCTAGAGCCTAGGGTTCTATAAGGGTTTAGGGTTCAGGGCGCTATAAGGGTTCAGGGTTTAGGGCTCTATAAGGGTTTAGGGTCTACGCTTCCAAAATTAATTAGACGGGGTCCAAAACGCTTCTAGAAGGGCGGCACGGGGCGATCTACAGGGATTAGGATTACAGCTTCCAAGGTTCTACCCGCTCTACCAGTAGAACCGTATTGCACATACAACTATCCAAAGGCCTTCACGAGCGGGACGGGGGGGATGCTTCGGGGGATCGAGGGGGTGGATGCAACTCCTTAGACCCATAAGGGTTTAGGATTTAGGGTTGGCTTTATAACCCCTAGGGGTGTCAATGGTGCAGCGAACATGAAAATACAATTCTAAGAAACCCCACCAGCAATGAATCAGACTTCGATTCCTGTAGGCGCTTGAGGAGTAGCCGGATCCACAGCTCGTCCTCCCCGGAATCCTCACGACTTTTTGGAGAAGGGATTTTGTCTTTGCAGGGGCATAATAAATCGACTAGGGCTTCGGGGCATGTTTACCATATGATCGCAATGCAAGAAGTTGATGACGCATGGTTTCGGGCGCTGCTGCTTGCGGAGTTCGGGGTTTCATGGACAGGGTTCAGCGGTCTGAAGGTCTTGGGATGTGCTTGTGATGCTTTGGGCTTAATGCTCTCGGGTTGAAAAAGGTTTAGGGTTTAGGATTAATTTAAGGTTTAGGGCTTAGGGCTTAGGGTTTCGGATTTAGGGTTTAGGGTTTAGGATTCACGGTTCGGGAGCTGAGGGCTTCGGATCCGGAATGTAGAGATACAAATGAAACCTTCAAAGCCAAGCAACGCCCGGAATCCTAAAGTCTGAACATGGGTAGTTCTCTAAACTCAGGGCCCTTTTTTAGCACGGCACCCTTATGGAATGGACCGTAAAAGGACCCTAACTCAGAGAACTACCCAGACATGTTTGAAACCCTAAACCCTTACACCCTACACCCGAAACGGGGAAACCCTTAGACCTGAACCGTAACTCTAGGACATTGTCAAGGTGGTTAACCGTCATAGGAGCCTTATAGAAGGTCTATATACCGTATAGACGGCCTTATAGAAATCTATATACCCTAAACTCCCCACCTGTAGTTTCCTTTAAATAGTAGTCCCTAAACCCAAAACCCAAAACCCCTAAACCCTAAATTCACCACCTGTAGTTTCCTTTACCTAACACCATCCTGCTTCTCGACTTTCACCTTCTTCCCCTCCACCTGCACGGGCGACGTTCGGCCGCGCGCCGGCTCCCGGCCGAGCTTCGGAGCGAGGGGAGGTTTAGGAGTCGTTAGGTTTAGGGTTCAGGGTTTAGGGTTTCGGGTTTAGGGTTTAGGAGTCGTGAGGTTTAGGATTAGGGTTTACAGTTTTGGGTTTCGGGTTTAGGGTTTAGGAGTAGTTAGGTTTAGGAGTGGTGAGGGTTAAGGGTTAAGGGTTTCGGGTTTAGGGTTTAGGAGTTGTTAGGGTTCAGGGTTTCGGGGTTTATGGTTCAGGGATTGTGGGGTGTAGCCCAGAGATTCACGGCTTTGGGGGCTTAGGGTTCAAGGTGTTGGGGTGCCCTTAGCTTCTCCGAAACCCTAGAAACTGGCGTGGGAAAAGCTAGCCGCGAAAGCCAAAGCCCCCAAACCCATAAACCCCAACCCTTAAACCCAAACCCATAATGTAGGGGCCTCAATAATTAGAATAGGATATTGGGGTCCATTATCATATATTTATAATAAGGATCCCCCAGAATAGTATTGGTAATTATTGAGGCCCCTGCAATAGATTTGACCACCCCATACACCATAAAAGGCTCCAAAACCCAAACACTACCGAGCCTGAACCCATAAACCCGAAACCCCCTCCTCTAAACCCTTAACCCTGAAGCCGTGAACCCCAAACCCTAAACCCTAAAACCCCGAAAACCCCCTAAAACCGCAAACCCCTAAACCCCCAACCCCAAAACCCGAAACCCGAAACCCGAAAACTCCAAAATCCCCTAAACCCCAAAGCCCCCAAAACCCAAAAAAAAAAAAACAAAAAAACCCAAACAACCCCAAAGCCCTAAACCCTAAACCCTAAACCCTAAACTACCCCCTTTAAAGGCAGCGCCTCGGGCTCCTCGAACTTCAGCTCCGGATCCAGGCAGTAGTTGCCTTTGGCCGCCGGGTGCTTCGCAGGGAATGGGGGAATGGATCCCTATGATAGTCCCTTATAGTAGGGTTTAGGGTTCGGGGTTTAGGGTTTAGGGTTTAGGGTTTAGGGTTTAGGGTTTAGGGTTTAGGGTGTAAGAGTTTAGGGTTTAGGGGTGTAGGAGTTAAGGGTTTAGGGTTTAGGGTGTAGGAGTTTCGGGTTTAGGGGTGTAGGAGTTAAGGGTTTAGGGCTTAGGGTTTAGGGGTGTAGGAGTTAAGGGTTTAGGGTTAGGGTTTAGGGTGTAGGAGTTTAGGGTTTAGGGGTGTAGGAGTTAAGGGTTTAGGGTTTAGGGTGTAGGAGTTTAGGGTTTAGGGGTGTAGGAGTTAAGGGTTTAGGGTTTAGGGTTTAGGCTTGTGGGAGTTAAGGGTTTAGGGTTTAGGGTGTAGGAGTTTAGGGTTTAGGGGTGTAGGAGTTAAGGGTTTAGGGTATAAGGGTGTAGGAGTTAAGGGTTTAGGGTATAGGGGTGTAGGAATTAAGGGTTAAGGGTTTAGGGTGTAGGAGTTTAGGGTTTAGGGGTGTAGGAGCTAAGGGTTTAGGGTTTAGGGTTTAGGGTGTAGGAGTTTAGGGTTTAGGGTGTAGGGTGTAGGAGTTTAGGGTTTAGGGTTTAGGGTTTAGGGGTGTGGGGTTGTGGAATTTTCTTTGGCTGCGCTAGCTTTGGGCTCAGGGCTTCAAGAAGGGCTTGGGGTTTAGAGTTTAGGGTCTAATGGGGCTTAGGTTTAGGGTTCAAGTTTCAGGGTTTAGGGTTTAAAGGGGCTTAAGATTTACAGTTTAGGGTAGGGGTTTAGAGTGAGGGGGTTTAGCTTTTAGGGTGTAGGGGTTTAGTAGGTTAGGCTTTAGGCTTTAGGGTGTAGG